GCAACTTTTTTACAAAAACGAACTTTTTCAACTTAACTTTTGAAAGTGTTCCAGAAATACTGCGTCCTTTAAACATATATCAAATTAAAGCTTATTTTATGTACTATAAAATAAAAAAAAATTTTGTCCCGACACCTTATCTACTATGTACAAATTGCTGTAAAAATTTAAAAAAAAATGTAATATGTTTACGATAAAAATCACCTTCTATCGGAATGTTTTTTGTACTTAAAACTGCCATAACTTTTTCAAATATTAACTAATCAAAATAATATTTCTTTATATTGAAACCTTAGGTAATTTTCTTTCATTTGATATCATTTTTTTTTGAAAATCTAACACTTATTCTGCTCACAAAGGGGATTTAAAATAGCAACTGTTTTACAAAAACTAACTTTTTCAACTTAATTTTTGAATATGTCCTGGAAATACTGCGTCCTTTAAACATATATCAAATTAAAGCTTATGTTATATACTATAAAATGAAAAAAAAAATTTGTCCCGACACCTTATCTACTATGCGCAAATGGCTACCGTATTCAAAATTATGCTATTTTTGTGACGATAAAAATCACCTNCTACCGTATTCAAAAATATGCTATTTTTGTGTTAAAATTCTAGGTTTTGTATTTTATTTTATTTTAAAATATCTTATTAGGAGAATATATTGACTTTCATGAATATTATATAATTTAATTGACATAGAATAAAGTTCATAACACATAAGAAATTAAACTTATTAATTTTTTTTACTTTTTTAAAGTCGAAAAAGTAATTTTTAAATTAGAGATAGCTTAAATAGCCAATTTTTAATACTAATTTTTAATAATATTAAAACTTAGAAGTGATAGAAAAAGTCTAATTGCAGAATTGAAAACATCGCGAAAAGTTGATTTAGAATGGTATATTTTTGTTACTGATGAAAGTTCCTTGTAGTTCAGTGCATTTATTTATAGTAACAAACAGTTTTTATTGAAATTTATTGTATCAAGCCCTTTAAATTTTTATACACGTAAAAATAAAGCAAAATATAACTTCTTTATTATTTTTATAATTTCTCCGTTTAAATTACAATATTAAATATCAATTTCATACTAAATTTAATAATTATAATTAGTATTTATTCATATATTATATTTTAAAATCAAATAACTACTAATTAGGATATAATCAAAGAAATAAGAGTTGATGTTGCTTTTGGAATAACCCATCAATTTCTCTAAATGAAACACCATCTACAGATTTGCATCGAAGCGTTTCTTATGATAGTGATTTTAATCACTGTCAAATATCATCTATACTTGTCCCATCTATGCCTTGTCTACACTGTGCTACCTTTTTTTTTTTTTGAAAATAAATAACGGAAAATATTATTTCTACGGTCTAAAAGCGCATAAAGTATTATTAAAAATAAGTGAAATGTTAACTGTATCAACTGCTATAACCATTTTCAGTTATGTCTGAAACTAATAATTAACATATTTTTAAAGCATAATTACCTGAATAATCGACCAGATACTTATAATGAGAATATTATTATTTTATGTATTTAGTTTAACAATTAAAATAAATTCGTTAATATTTTTAAGGTTTTATATACTCTTGGTTTTTAAAGAAAAATAATTTTTAAAAAATCTGAATGTCAAATATCAAACTTGTACAAATACAATTCAATAATAGTCTTTAACAATTTTTAATTATTTCAAAACTATAAAAAAATAATAATTTATCTTTTAAACATCTTTCATTGACTATTATTGTTATTGTATTATTAGTATGTACATAGTGATGGGTTTATAATAAATCACTCGATTACTCACAAAATAAATAGAATATTGAAATAATATTTTTTGATTTCTTTTACTTATATATAATTTTTATACCTTATAGGAGTGTCAACCTTAGTTTTTTTAATTGCAACATATATATTCAACCAGCTTATAAGTTGGGAATAATCTAGAAAATGACCGATTGATAGCAATTTGTGATCAAGTACTTTGCATGTTATTCTCAGTTTTATACTTAGGCAGTATTAAGAGAACGGCCGGGAATAAAAATAAAAATTTAGTAATACAAATAGTAGTACCCAAACTTTAACACCAGTCTATACTATAAATTTTAACACCGGTTGAAACAATATATCGATATATATTGGTGTCTAGTATACTAATATAAGATGCTAATATACAGGGTGTATATTCCGTTTCCTGACTTACTGAACACTCTGTATAGATGCTAATATAAGAAAAGATGCTATCGATAAAAGCGATAACAATAACCTGTTCAATTACAAATCATATTTTTTCTCTTTATAAAATAATAATTAATTACATCAAATATAATAGTGCGCAATAAGTTATACATAGTAATCATTTCAATAATATAAAAATAATGTATTACATAACAATACAAAAAAATGATTAATAAAACGATGCTTGTTGACAAAAATGTCAACATCTGTAAACTAGGAAATTTATTTTGGGGTATTTTAGCATTAGGACAGATATTAAATTACATAAATTTAAATATTACAATTTCAATCTGTACATTATTTAAAAAAAACAACTATATAAATTAAATATCTATTTTCGAACATGCGCTGTATCTTGCGTCAACAAAGACAATCAAACAAGTCCCCAAGGAAATATTCTTGCACCAACGCTTTATAACCTATAATACAGAATATATTTTATATTATAAAATCGATCTTCCTTTGTAAATCCTTACTAACCTTTGCAATAGATCTGACATTAATGTAATTACAAATAACTCCAAGGTCAGATTTTAAAACTTATGAAACGGTTCAATTTATGGAAAATAAAAATATATGTATTTAAGTCTGTTCACATTACTTTTACTCTTCATCTTAAAATTATCCCCCTGTCTTTTAAATGATCAAATTTTAAGAAATTAAATGATCAAAGTATTGTTTTTAAAGTGCATTAATTAATTTTTAATGTATGCAATTGTGAATTTTTTTTTTTTTAGAATTTGATTAATTAAATTATTTATATGATTTTAGCAAATTATTTAAAATAAAAAATGCAATGCATTTTTTTAAATTTACATCAAATGAATCAAATTAACAAATTATAAAATTATGTGTCATCGTAATAAATTATTGTTATTAAAAAGAATTATATTAATTAAAAATAATTATTTTAATATCAAAAATCAAGTTGTATGAATTTTAAATTCAAAATATCGATTTATATTATTACAATAAATTGCCAACAATTGTGGAACATAAACGTGCATCGAACAGTAGAATCCGTTTGACATGACATTCCGCCAAAATTACCGTATCGTTTTCGACAAGCATCATTTCCGCCAAATCTGCTTAAGGTAAGTATTTCGTTTCCGCCAAACCAATAGTTTATACTTGTATTCAACACGTTCGGAACGTATGTAACATCGAATGGACGACCGTTTAGAACAATAAAAAAAGTTCGTTCACGACGGATGATAGGAACCATCCATTAGCGAACAGTGGATCGAACGGACGGTCATAAATAACAAAAGAAAGGTTTGACGGATAGTATGAATGTGTGAACCGAACGTCTCGATCAAAAATATACATTCCATTTATAAATTCTATATGAGTGATTATTATATTTATATTTTTATTATTATTATATTTTTCGTTATTTTAATACCGATGATGTAGTTTTAATAGAAAAAGTTAGTCAATATCATGAACTTTATAATAATGCTAACAGAATATACAGTGATAACTAACATAAAAATATAATACGATTGTAAAATTAGACAACAATTGAACACAACAACAAGTTTTTCTTTTAACTAACATTTCTCGTACACATGCTCTTCTACGTCGTTAGTAGCTGTTATTTTCTTACTCGTCCAAAATTATTACCATTATTGTTAATGTTTTCTTATTAAATTTTGACACAGTGAAGTACATATTATATTAAAACTAATTAATTTTATAATATTGGTTTTAAAATCACCGGACAACTGCAATAAGATAGATCACAATTGGTATTATTTCATTGACGTTTAATGTGAATAAAGGTCGATTCACACTANGAACTATTATCTAATAGTTTCCAAATTATTTCAATGCAACTTACAGCGCATCAATGATACATAATATTTGTTTACGATCTCATTAAATGCAGCGAGACCTTTTTTGAGATAATTGACTTAAGTATGTAAACGTATCATGCACTAGGTATAACTGTATTTTGTGGATGGGAGGGTCGGACTAACGTTATACCTGAAACGGTGGTAGGAATATTTAAATATATATACGTAAGGCGCATTAAACGCGGGCGGTATTGGTCAGTCAAAATAAAAATTTGTTTATATACAGAGTGATTTTTTTATCATAACCCACTCAATTACTTGCATAATAATAATAATTTAAACATTTTTTTTTTTTATTAACTTTAGTTACACATTATTCTTGAATTTTTAACTGTGTAATACTTTTTAAGTTCATCCCTTATGCCTTGGAGAGGGGTCAACTTTGTTTTTTTAAATGGTAACACATATTTTTAATTTAATAAAATGTTTGAGTTTTTAATTTAATAGTAAATGGCATTTGAATTTTTAATATAACTTTATTAGCTTATTAGATATAAACATTTAAAGTTTCAAAATTTTGAGTTAATATACATGTATAATACACATGGGATTGTAAATACAGGTAGCTAATTGGATTTTTATGACATTGCTGTCTCAGTCACGAATTGTTTATTATCAATTATGACTATCAATAGATATACTTTCTGTATTGTCAGTTAGTGTATTTATAAACTCACAACAATATTAACTAAAAAATTTGGAACTTTAAATGTTTATATTTAATAAATAAATAAAGGTATATTAAAAATTCAAATGCCATCTACTATTAAATTAAAAACTCAAACATTTTATTAAATTAAAAATATGTGTTACCATTTAAAAAAACAAAGTTGACCCCCCTCCAAGGCATAAGGGATGAACTTAAAAAGTATTACATAGTTAAAAATTCAAGAATAATGTGTAACTAAAGATAATAAAAAAAAAATTTTTTTTAATTATTATTATTCTGCAAGTAATTGAGTGGATTATGATAAAAAAATCACTCTGTATACAATGTATTTTATGGTTGCATTTTTCATGCGAATTTTATTAAATAATACAATTTTCGTTAATATTACTCAGTTATCTCAAGAAAGGCGCTGTAAGTTGCCTTGAAATAATTTGGAAACGCATTTTCTAAATTAATATAAAAAACCCAGCACAGGGGGGTCGCGGCACAGTTGTGATGTGGTATAGTTGGATCAAGTATAATGATATCTGACAGTGATTAAAATCACTATCAAAAATAAACGCTTCGATGCAAATCTTTAGATAGTGTTTAATTTAAAAAAAATTGGTGTTTTATTCCAAAAGCTACTTGATCTGCTGGTTCCTTAATATCTCGATTAAGATAAAGTATGTCGAATGAAAAAGGGTTTATTAAAAAATATTATTTCTCATAAAAAAATTGTGTGGATCCATAAACTTTTCAATAAGTTATAGCATTATAAAGTTAAATATAATATGAATAATAAAATCGAGAATTTTCACACGAAAATAGCATTCACTAGTCATTTTCGCCGTGAAGACAAGTCCAGAGGTCAAATTTTTTTTTTTTAAATTAAAGTACACTATATTAGCTTTAATTTAAGATATATATAAAAGTGTCAGACCTTCCGGAACATTTTCAAAATTTAAGTTGAAAAAGTTAATTTTTTGTGAAAAAGTTGTGATTGTAAATTCCCCCCTGTGGGCAGAAAAAAGGTCAAATTTACAAAAAATAATTAACCAAATAATAGGTAAAGACATAAAGCATCTATAAAAAAAAAAATTATATTAATATGTTCATTTTTGAAAAAGTTATTTTTAATTATAAAATTTAATGATTGATATAGTTTATATTATATTACACATAGATAATAGTAGTATTTAAAATAATTTTTAGTATTTAACTAAAAATGTTTGTTTTAAATGTTAGACTGCTATTTTATATATATTTAAATATGCACGACAGCACATATTTGGTAACAGATGAATGTTTAACTATTTTGAGAAAGGCGCGTAATTTTACACAGCATTCTCTCGATTTTAATACAAAATTGAAGACCCCGAATGAAAATAAATATGAAAAAACAGATACACAAGAAAAAAAAATTAAAATATTTTTGAAAAATTTGATAACCTATTTGATATTTCTAATATCAAAGCTTCGAATATGATGAAGAATAAAAAAGACAAACATTTATTATTGTTACAATTTCAATGAGGCTGTTCAGAATGAACGTTTAGTATAGATATGAAGTTAATAATATTACTTCTATACAATTTTAGTTTAACTTAAATATTTGAGATAGTACAAGAGAAAAATATAAACCAAGTTATTTTTCCTAAAATTAGATGAAATCAGTTTTTCTTAATTCCATGAAAAACCATTTACTCTACAAAAAAATATTAAGAAACCATATTTTTCATATCAAATACTATAATAATAGTTGTTTGTGTTTTTGACATCACATTAAGTTCTAATGTGATATTTTAAAATTTGAGCACGGTAAGTTCTACCGTTCTCAAATTTTACTAGAATTATTATTTTAGTGAACCTAATAAAATGTTGAGCCCGTGACATAATAAAGTAGAAAAATAAGGACCGCTGTGTATAATAGAGGGTGTGCTATCGTGATTAACTAATTTTACTACAAAAACTAATACTATAATTAGTAAATCAGTTGATAACGTGATGTGTGGCTGAGAGAAACACATATTTTTAGTCGTACAAAATTGTGAATGTTAAAAGATGAATTATATGTGTAGGCATAAATAATGTATGATTGTTTATTCTTGATGAATATAATATTATATTCAATGATATGGCATCATTGTTTGCTCTATTCTTATTTAGGATTTTTTTATATTAAAATCATTTTTGCACATTTGTCTTTATATTCTGCTAGAATTAAAATTAATTATGAATAATGTAATTTAAAAGATTACAATGAAGTTTATTTTATTAAATTATAGTATTTTAATAATACTGAAAATTTGGTAAAAATACTATTTGAATACTGAGATCAATTGATAAAATGGCCTTTAATTATTATAAGTCCTTAAAAAAACGATTGATTGATTAAGAAAAAAATAAAATTCTCAGCCTGGGGCAAAATGTTTTTATTAATATGATAAATTTACATACCTTAGCTTAATTTAGATAATTCATAAAAAATGTAAATCTATATACAGGGTGGCCCACTCACTGACAACTTAAATAACTTTTGATCTAGTTAATATTTTTAGCTGATTTTTTTTTTAAATAATAGTTATCCGTTAGGTCTATAGCTATATCTTAATAATTAATTTTATTACATTTTATTAAAAATATTAATTATTATTAAATTTTAAATAAAATGTAAAAAAAAAATCTAAGATAGCCATTTTGTAGAGTAAAATTTAAGAAAAATTTTAGTAAAAAAATATCTTATTAATATTCAGTAGTAAATATGCTGTAGCGTTTTGAAGTTTGTGAAAATTTGAATTTTGATGTATTATTTTACGGTATTAAACATTGAAATACGTATTGAGAAAAGGACAGAAGAAAACGCTATCTTTTCATGATTACTGTGATTTGGAGGTGTGTAACTTTTTCCATGAAAATGACTTATACTTTTGAATGAGAGTGATAAGTAATAATTGCCTTATCTAATTTCTTATCA